AAGAGTCTGGCTCCATCATCCTTCCACCCACCCCTTAGTGACTTGTAAACATAGATAAGGTCTCCCCTCAACCTTCTCCAGGCTCTTTGAGCCTTTCCTCGTAAGGGAGGTGCTCCAATCCCTTACTCATCTTAGTTGCCCTTCGCTGGACTCTCTCCAGTAGTTCCCTGTCTGTCTCGAGCTGGGGAGCCCAGACTTGGACACAGTATTCCAGTTGTGGCCTCACCAGTGCAGAGTAGAGGGGGAGAATGACCTCCCTCGACCTACTGGCCACACTCTTTCCTATGCAGCCCAGGATCCCATTGGCCCTCTTGGCAACAAGGGCACATTGCTGGCTCATGGAAAGTGTGCTATCCACTAGGACTCCCAGATCCTTCTCCTCAGCAGTGGTTTCAGAATATCCACCCCTAACCTATATTGGTGCTTGGGGTTCTTCCTCCGCAGGTGCAGGACCCTATGTTTGCCCTTGTTGAACTTCATTAGGTTCCTCTCTGCCCAGCTCTCCAGCCTGTCCAGGTCACGCTGGATGGCGCCACAGACCTCTGGAGTGTTGGCTGGCCCTCCCAGTTTGGTATCATCAGTGAACTTGCTGAGGATACACTCTGTCCCCTCATCCAGGTCATTGATGAATATGCTGAAAAAGACTGGGCTGAGTATTGACCCCTGGGGGACACCACTGGTAGGAAGTCCTGTATCAGGATCCTCTGCACCAGGAACCACATCCCATACGTAACTATACTGTAGGTTCAGAACCCCTTGAAATGTGGTGCAAATATGTGACCGTATTTCACATATATACCTCACAGGAAGTTCGGTTCAGTATTTTGGATAAAACAGTGCCATTTTCTTTGTCTTTTAAAATATGTTTTCTGCAAAATAACTCCTTTTAATGCAAACATTAAGGAATTGTAAAGAACATACACTTAAAGGAACGATTTGATAATTTAATTAATGCTGGCAAAACAACTCATGTTGCTATGAGATACAAGGCTTTCAGACCCGATATAGTATACACTGCATGCCCCGTTTCCTGCTAACTCAAACCAGATATAAAATGGTGCTTTCTCTTTTCTCATGCTAATTTTATTCCTTGGCCTTCTTGCTTCTTGTTTTTCTGTTTCTAGTCTTTTTTTTTTTTCTTTTTTCTTTTTTTTTTTCTTTTTGGTAGTATTGGCTAGAAGTATGCAGTTTCTTGCCAACACTGGGCTTTTATGTATGTTGGGGGAGGAAAGATCAACAAATAGACCTTCTGTATTGATTTCGAGCAGAACTGAGAGGAAGTAATCCAAAACATATCCCGCTTGCATCTGTTTGCAAATAACTGGGGGTGGTGAATGTCTCATTTTAGAATATAATAATAGTTTTTGTAAAAATGGTAGTTTAAGAACATGTAATAATTTTCCATGGTGGAGCTGATAAACTAAAATGACTGTTCTCTTATAGACTACATTTCATTGGCTTATTTTTACTGTTAAAAATATGTCAGTATATCATAGGGTTCCTAGCTACTATATGAGCAACTCCTTTCTAGAAACTAAACTGCTAGATAAGAATATAAAATGGTTCTTTTTAAAATCTCTTTTAGCATCTAAAGCAAAACGGGATGTATCTTTCTATCTAGGGATTCAGGTTTTTTTTATCGTCTTCCCATACAGTTCTCAACAGTGAGGTGGAATAGCTGATCTCTTCCTACACTTTGATTATGGGGAAGCACGAAGTTATATTTGATTCATCTGTTAGCTGAACGTACCAGTTACTGGAGAATCAGAGAATCACAGACAGGCACTATGAATCACAGGATGCACTATGAAAAAGCTTGAGAAAACTTGAGAAAGTTTGAGAAAGTGTGCCTGAGAAAGGAGCACTTTATTTTTGAGATTAAATTTTGAGCCCATTAAACCATATTCCAGTTAGGGACCTGTTTTCAAAGCAAATAAATTTCAAAACATAAATTTAATTTACTTCAGGTTTTACATCTGCCTCTTTCTTCTGCCAAATGTGAGCCTTTAGTGCTGTGTTTTAAGCAAAGTTATTCTCTTGTTGCTAGGTTAAAGACCCATTCAAACAGAAGAGTCTTGAAATACAGTCTTCATTGTGCAGTTGGACCAGCAAGTGCTCAAGAAACAGAACTGTTACTAGGAGATCTGAGAAACGGTAATTCACAGTAGCCCTAAAGCCTTTTTAGAGTCTGTCTTTGCCAACACTAGCAAGTTCCAAATGAAAAACCTCAGAGCCACTCTTTTATAACACCAAGTCCTCAGCCCTGCCACACCACCCTGGTTAATCTGGCCCAGAAACTGAAATGCTTCTTTTTTAATTATCTCAGGCACTTGTGCATTACCAGTGTGATTGGTGATTTGGCTTATTTTCGGCCACAGTAAGAGCAATGTGAAAAATGCTGTTGTACTAACGCAAGCTGAACCATAACATTCAAACTCAAAGAAACCGATGGTGGTAGCACCACTGCATTCAGCAGTACAGTTCCACCTTTAAATGTAGCTGAACTTTACAGTTGACGCCTTCATCAAAATGCCTTTTGAATTCACCTACAGTTAAGTAACTCACAGAATAGATTTATGTAATAAAATTATTTTAATAATAGCCATCTATTAATAATAATTAATATCTCAGTGTACTGCCAATAATCTCTTTGTTTGCCAGATGCATATCCCACTGTGATATGGTGTATGATTGTCTTTAACAATGGAATTATACTCATAATTGTCTGTGGATTCTCTTATCAGAAATTCATTAGATAAACAGTACTGTTCTGCTCTTTAGCACTAATATTACAGAAGTGCCCACAAAGTAGCTCCATGCTGGGAGTGGGAGAATTGCTTGACAACAGCCTACTTCACTCTTACTGTTAAAAAAAATATTATTATCAGAGTTGTTAATATTTAAATATGTTCATTGTATTTATTTAGTGGTTAAGGGTCTGTAGTCAGAACTGGACCTCACTGAGATGTTATTCAAACACAGTTTGTTTAGATTTCTATTTAAAGCAAGGCATGATAAGAAAGTGTAACAAATTATAAGAGAGATTACAGGCAAGAAAGGGTGAGGGTTATAGTATATTTCTGTGTCTGACCTGTAGAACATTAATGTGGGAGAACAAGGGGTTAACAGGATTGTGGAAGAAGCAGAGACCAGGAGAAGAAGCAGGAACAATGGCAGAAGATGGCCCTTAAGCATCTCCGGACCTGTAAACAGGACCTGTAAACAAGGCCTGGCGCCCCTGACTGATGGAGGGGAATTCCACCTGCCTGGCAATTGGGGGGTTGCAGGGGAGTGTCGGTTGGGAAAGAATAGACACTGGTACTATATAAGCTGCTTGTTGGTTATAATAAACGATTCTGGTTGTATCACCGACCGGGGTCCATGCCTTCATACGCTACAAATGGCGCCCAACGTGGGGCATTAATCAGGAGACGGAAAAGCCGTCCGGACCGGTAGCGTAGCCCGATCGAACCAGGGATTACCTCGAGGATTTCTTCACCGCCGGCTCATCGCCTTCTGCAGGACAGAGGTGAGCGATCGGGAACCATGGGGAACACTCTGCTGAGAGAGGAGCAGGGAAGCACACTGCCCACAGAGCAGCAAAAGAACCTAGAAGTATTGCAGTGCACCACCTGCCGTGCAGAGGAGAGTCTCTCAGGAGACTACTTCCATCCTGAGCCGACAGATCCAGACCCAGACCCTAATCTACCTCCTTTTGATAATGAAAAGGCAGAGGCAGTGGGGAATAACCTAGCACTTTGGAATGGTTGTCACGGTGTGTGGGACAAATGTCGAAAAGAAGCCTTAGCTAAAGGTGACACAGACATTTTGCAAGCGTTTCCTGTTATTTATCGCGGAAATCGACCCGGAGCGTGGGAGGCTTTGGATTATGATCATGTTAAAGAGTTGAGGAAATCGGTAAAAGATTATGGACTCCAGTCAGGATATACCATGAACTTATTAACAGCTCTTGGTGATGGATATGTTATGACTCCTCATGATTGGAAATTGTTGTTGCTTATGGTTTTGTCGGCTATGCAATATGCTGTATTCATGACTGAGTACCGTGATCTCGTGACTGCTAAAGCATTGGATAACTTAGCGGGCAATTTAAATCATATTGGTGTGAATGAGCTCGTTGGTGAGGGGCCTCGGGCTACTCCTGACGCACAGGCTCAGATGGACAGGCAGTGTTTTGAGCAAGTAAAAGACATTGTACTGCGCGCAGTGAGACGGGTACCTGATACAGCTGCTCCAGAAGCTTCCTTTTCTGTTATCACACAAGCGCCTGGAGAACCCTATATAAAGTTCCTTGATCGGCTCCAAAATGCAATAGAGAGACAAGTAGATAATGGAGCAGCTCGCGATACTCTCATGAAACAATTGGCCTTCGAAAATGCTAATGCTGACTGCCGTAAAGTGTTGCGTACAATTAAGAATGCTAATCCCTCTATCACTGATATGATAAAAGCCTGCCAAGATATCGGCACAGAAACTCATAAAATGAGTCTCTTAGCTGATGCGTTATCAACACAGCTCGTTGTGGGGGGTGCTCTGAAAGCAGAATGTTATAATTGTGGAAAGCCGGGGCATCTTAGAAAAGATTGTAAAACGGTTAAACGAGGTGGTCGAGAAAATCGCCTTATGCCAGACCGACCGTGCCCTTGCTGCGGCAGGGGACTGCACTGGGCAAGTGAATGCAAATCCAAATTCCATGCTGATGGTCAAACCCTCGGGGGTTCGGGAAACGGGGGGAGGAGCGCGAGACCACGCGCAACGACAACAAATACGGTCCCGCAGAACAAGGCTGGGCTCCCGCGGAACAAGGCTTGGCCAGCATGCTCCGACCAGCCACAGCTGGAAGTGCAGGAGTGGACCTGGCCACCGCCCAGTCAGTAACTCTGGATACCACAGCAGTTGTTCTCATCCCCACTGGGGTGAGGGGACCTCTTGGAAATGGCAGGAGTGCTCTTTTGTTAGGGCGTTCCTCAACCACACAAATGGGGCTTTTTGTTCTGCCTGGAATAATTGATGCTGATTTTACGGGAGAAATCAAAATTATGGCTTGGACACCGTCTCCGCCTTGTTTTGTTCCAAAAGGACAACGAATTGCACAATTAGTACCTCTCCCTTCCGTGACCATCCCTGGGGAAGGGAATCGCAAAGGGGGATTTGGGAGCACTGGAAAACCTGTAGTTTTGTGGTCAAAGCAAGTGTCTAAAGAACAGCCTTTGTTACGTTGCCAGGTCCACGATAGGCACTTTTCTGGTTTGGTGGACACAGGAGCAGATGTCACTATCATTAATATATCAGACTGGCCTCCTGAATGGCCACTGAGAGATCCCACCTCCGCTATTGTGGGGGTAGGAGGTCTTCAGAAACCCAAACAAAGTGCAAAGATACTAACTTTCAAGGGACCTGAGGGTCAGATTGCACATGCAGCTCCTTACATCCTCCCCGTGCCCTGTACATTATGGGGCTGTGCCCTGTACATTATGGGGCCGAGACTTGTTAAGCCAGTGGGGAATCTTCCTGAAAACAAATTTTCAATAGGGGCTATTGACAAGCAGCAGACCCTTTCATTGACATGGAAATCAGAAAAAACTGTTTGGGTAGATCAATGGCCCCTGAAAAAGGATAAACTGCTGCATTTGCATGACTTAGTACAGGAACAATTGGCCGCTGGCCACATTGTACCTACTACCAGCCCGTGGAACACTCCTGTGTTTGTAATACCTAAAAAAGGTGGCAGATGGCGATTGATACATGATCTTAGAGCGATAAATGCAGTCATTGAGCCCATGGGTGCGCTACAGCCTGGTCTTCCTTCACCTTCTATGCTGCCTCAAAATTGGCCAATAGCCATCATTGATCTCAAAGACTGCTTTTTTGCTATTCCTCTACACCCAAAGGATGCACCACGGTTTGCATTCTCTGTACCAGCTGTCAATCAGGAACAGCCCACACGACGATATCATTGGACTGTGTTGCCACAAGGTATGCTAAATAGCCCAACTATCTGCCAATTAACTGTAGCAAATGCTTTACAACCTGTCCGAAATGCAAACCCTCATGTTATAATTTATCATTACATGGACGACATACTTATAGCTGCTGAAAAGGACAAAGACCTGCAGATAGTCGTCTGCCAAGTCCGCCTTGCTGTCCAAGGAGCAGGCTTGCAGATAGCTGAGGAAAAGGTCCAACGTGAACCACCCTGGAAATACCTAGGATGGAAAATTACAACTCACCCCATCCAGCCACAAGCACTCCAGCTGGCGTTACAAATAAAGACTCTGAATGATCTGCAAAAATTGTTGGGAACTATAAACTGGCTCAGACCTTTTCTGGGTATCACCACACAAGATCTGCACCCTCTGTTTCAATTGTTACCCCTGACTAACCGAACCTTATGTATCTAAAACCACACAACTTTTTTTTACAGGAATGGGGCATTCGCCACATCACTGGAATTCCACACTCCCCTACAGGGCAGGCGATCAGTTGAGCGTGCCCATCAAACGCTAAAGCAATTGCTAATTAAACAAAAAAGGGGGAGTCTGGAAGATCCACCACAGGAACGACTGTGGAAAGCCACTTTTGTTTTGAATTTTCTAAACAGAGACAACACTGAAATGACACGAGTGAATCGACATTTCGGAGCTTCCCCAATGTTCAAAACATGGCCAATGGTCCATATTCGTGATATGGCCACTGGACAGTGGGAAGGCCCCGTGCCATTGATAACCTGGGGGCCAGGGTATGCTTGTGTTTCCGCAGGAAACGGTCCCAAGTGGATACCAGCACAATTCATTCAACCACATCTAGAAGCTGAGCAGCACGAACAATCATCAGAAACAACAAAGCAGTGAATCTTTTCTGCTCACAAAAGTGTCATTGGTTCTAATGTTATAATGGTTATGTTATGTTTACCATGTTTGTTTAAAGCATAAATCAAGTCATGTATGCTCAAATGCACACTGTACTTGCCTTACAAAGTATGATGACTTATAGTAGTATTAATAGCATAGGTTCAATGTAGTCATTAAGATGTAATCTGTACATTAAACAAAAAAGGGGGAGATGTGGGAGAACAAGGGGTTAACAGGATTGTGGAAGAAGCAGAGACCAGGAGAAGAAGCAGGAACAATGGCAGAAGATGGCCCTTAAGCATCTCCGGACCTGTAAACAGGACCTGTAAACAAGGCCTGGCGCCCCTGACTGATGGAGGGGAATTCCACCTGCCTGGCAATTGGGGGGTTGCAGGGGAGTGTCGGTTGGGAAAGAATAGACACTGGTACTATATAAGCTGCTTGTTGGTTATAATAAACGATTCTGGTTGTATCACCGACCGGGGTCCATGCCTTCATACGCTACACATTAATACTATGTGTGGATTTTAATGCATTTTGTGATTAAAGGGGAAGCATAGGGAGTATAAGTCCTTCTGGGCTAAATGTCTATTATGCCTCTAATTTCACTCGTCTTTATGACTCAGCTGATCCCTTCCGTTTCTATGGCTGTTCTCTATTTACACAGATAGTTCATAACTTTCAGCAATACACAGTAAATTGCTAGCCCTATGAAATTAAATTTCAAAGTTAACTTCAAGTCATATCACTAGGTTTAAGGTATTAGCAGATGGAAGCTGAGCAGTTTTGACAAATACATTGAGATTAAACTTAGATTGTAAATAAAAAGATTACTTCAACCTCATGACTTAAAGTAATGCTTTCAGAAATTGAACAGATGACTGAAAGACAAAAGACAACATTGTCATATAGTGTGTTTGTCCATAAAAATATGGAGCCCTGTCCTGCCATAAAGATTACAGGACTGAAGCTCAAGATATACTCACTTCAATGTAAAGATAAACTTAGGTTTGCAGATGGCTTATAAGGAAGATATGGTGTATTTGTATTTCCAAATTGTCAGCCCCAAGCTATCAAAGCCTTAAATCTGTTTTGAGTAATTAAGAGGAAAGCTGTATGAAGTTAGCTCATTTTTCCAGGTTTTTGTTACCTATTAAAAAGTACACACTGTAACAAACTTAGGACAAAATGTGTAGGTTAAATTGTATGACTAAAATTTAAGAAAAAAAAAAAGATTAAAGAAAGAGAAATAGGTGAAATAAGACAAAGCACATTAACTACGCTTTGACTTAATCAACTAATTGTTTTATAATAAACCATTTTTTTTAATGTCTCTGTAAGGAATATTGTGGCAGGGACCTGAACACATCAGCAGGCTCTGTAACCCTCTCTCTGTAACCCCTCTCTGCAATCTCTTCCCCTCACTGAGTGTTTGACTGCTTTTATTTAAGGCCAGCTCACTTTCTCTTGCAGAAAGGCCGACCCTTGCTGCTCCCTGGCAGGTTATCTGCCATTTCCTCTTCCACATGTTATTAGTGCCTCAAAATTGTATCTCCTCTTTTTAATAAAAATAAATGCAAATTCCAGAAAGTTCTTTTGTAGGTCTCACAGTCAAGTTAACCTAAATAAACTGGTCAAAATCTTTTTGAGAGTAAGAGCTAATAATAACCCATGGTAGAGGTTTGCAATAAATTATTCTCCTCTGTCTCTCTGAAAACACAGAAAAAGCTGTGTTTGGAAGAAGAGATCAGGTTTACTTCAATAGGGTTTGCCAAAATAGATTGACAGCAGATTTCAGTTACCTTCTAAAAAGTATTTATGAATCTTCTGTTAAACTTGCCAGTTCTCTGGTGTCTGTTTATATATTAATTTCTGCATTACTAAAGGCAGATAATTTTTCTATTTTTAACCAATTTCTGACAATTAGACTCATATATGAAACCCTGTAACACAATACTGGCAAGTCTGTGTCCACAGTTAAAACTTGTTAAATTTATTGAGATTTATGTAGTACACATATACCTAAACACTGTAGATCATCTCATCTGTTAAAACATAGTTCCAAAAAATATTCAGGTTGAACTCCTTTCTAGCTTCCTGTCAGTAACTTGTTATGTTTCATTATAAGTAATAAAAAATGCATGAAATTAATTTCATTTCAGTTTTGAAAAAAAGCAATTCAACGTTAAAAGGTCAAAATCAATCCTGATTGATATATTGCAAGACACTTTGCTTTGTTTGCTTTGAATTTCATAATCTATAGCGTTCATACTCCAATAGTGATGGAAAATGTGTTAGACTCTTACTATTTAGCTGCGAGAATGTGTGTGGATGTCAGGCATAGTGCAAAGCTGTCATTCTGTACTGGAACAATACCAGAAGAATGTGTGTAGGACTGGGAATCGTGAGTTAGAATTCCGGCTGTGCCATTTGCTATTGCCCAACCGAGCCAGATCATTTTTCTGTTTCTAGTTTCCTCTATTTAAAATGCACACAATAAAATTTGTATTCACCTTTATTGTTTGTCAATATTTTACAGAATCTTGACTCATAAAGTAGTATGGGATTATGAAATGTTATTGCATGCTGTACCAATGCAGATTATGCAGCTGTTTACAACACCACAACTTCAACCATTTTGCTTATTTATAGATCTAAGATGTTGAAAAAGTACAGCGGGTTTCCACCCAGACAGTACATTTGGAGCATGATACGTATCCAGTAATACTTTGGGAAGGATTTAGGGGCCTAACTTTGTAGTTTTAGAACAGATTGTCAGAATTAATTTTTTGGTTACCTCTGAAAAAAATAGATAATGCAATACTCAAAACACTGGACACAGAACTACAAAGACATTGTCGAACTCCTACAGTAATATACTCTACCAACACAGAGATTACTTAGGGTTCATATTTGAGGATTTAGTTCAATGTCATTCTGAACAGAAAATTTCATACAAACAAATGTTTTATTCTCACCCAAAGTATTTTCATCCCATTTCCATGTGCCTGATGCTCCTCCCAGAAGCAATTTCTCCTGGCATAAATAGCTCTTACAGAGCTGTTAGTTATTAGGCTCATTTAAAGGATAGATAATTGAGAAGAATGAGTACTGTCCAGGTATTGAAATGCCTCTAGATACTTTGTCAGATGGTCTTTAGAAACATAGCTAGTCATTATCATCTCAATAAGATGGTTTTGGAGAAAAAAGTATAGCAAAAGCACCTCAGTGTGACATGGTGAAATATTAATTTATTTACTCTTGAGTTAAACCCATAAAATAGTTTTAAGGCTTACCTTAAGAGTGAACCATAATTGTGAGCAAAGTTTACATTTGTAAATACAGAACATATTTGTTTATCCTGTTAACAGTCAACATATGGTATTGGTTAATACTAATTTTAATACAGGTATGACTAATAATACAGTATTTGGTATGACCTTATTCAAGTGAAGTACATAATTACAAAGAAAATATTAAATTATTTTCAGAGAGAAAATGTGGAGCTACCACTAAAAGGAGCTACAATGCTCAAAATGTATGGGTCTTCTAAAACTGTACTTTGAGTTATATATCCCCTATTTCTAAATAACAGCTTCATATATAGAAGCTCAGAATGAAAACAGAGCAAACATATTTAATTACTAATTAACTACTTTCTTTCTAAGTGATGAAAAAAAATGAAATTGAAAACAGATAGAGAGATTCTGTAAATTCTGTAGTAGAGCTGCAGTGAATAATGAAGAATATATGACTTTCTAAGTAGCCAAAATGTAAATACCCCACAAATGTAGTTAACTCTTCTATTTCTTAGTTTTCTAGAGGAAGGAATGCACATAGAATCACACTATTCTTTCTGTGCTTCATTTTCAAACTTTTTCTTTATCCCTCTCCATTTCATACCTTTTAGCTATTTTTTTTTCTTTTTTTTATTCTTATGGTAGTAATTTGCATAATTTGCGGAATTTAGGTAACACTTTTATCTAGATGTATTAGAACTTTTAGTTTTTAACATTATTAGAATACCTAATGATTTCTGTAATAGAACTACAGTTTACTTTTAACAGCCATGGTAGGGGGTGGAGGAGATCCTCACAGAACTGACCAGACCTCAGTACAATGAGATGTGTTTAGTGTATTTCCTCAGATCATTCAAATATTGAGAAGGCTGTTATTGCAAGAAAAACTACACCAAAACCAATCAGGTAAAATGACAGCAGCTTTTAAATTCACCTGATAAACATATTGTAATTACTTTTTATTTTCCAATTGAACCCTTGTTCTCCTTATGCCGTTTTCTTCTTTTAAATAGCCTATGCGTTTTGATTTGAGTTTTTTTGGAGATCAAGAGGGAATCTTTCACTTGTTATGACCTTTTTTCTGACACTGAATGTGTTTTCCTTTTGGCTTAAACCTGCATGTAGTAATGAAAATATTGTGCTTTGGGATGAAATCAATAGGATTTCTTTTGTTTGCTTTATGTTGTTCTTCCGTATGCTTGTGTAGGTTGCATTGAATACAATTCTTTGGGTTAAATAATCTGTAATTTCTAAGACACTGAAGCTGCTTTTCAATCATAGAATCACAATATCATTTACGTTGCAAGGTACCTCTGGAGGTCATTTTGTCAAACCACCTGCTCAGAGCAGGCTTACCTTCAGTACTAGATGAGGTTGCACAGCGCCTTGTACAGTTCAATTCTGAAAAACTCCACAGCCACTTTATAATCACAAAACCTGTTCCAATTCCTACACATCCTTATAAATTTTTGTTTTTCTTGACACACAGTAAAAATTTCCCTTGCTACAAATTGTGACTACTGCCTATGGTCCTTCTGCTGTGCACCTCTAAGGGAAGTTTGGTCCACCTTGTCTACAGTCCCCTTTCAGCTAGGTGAAGAGTCACTACTCTCATCTTCAGGCTAAACAAACCCTGCTGCCTGAGTCTCTCCTCAGATCCTGTATCAGTTGCAAATAAATATCAGGGTTTGGAAAAACAAAGAAATTTTTTGTTTTCAGTTGCTGAGAACTTTTTTTTGTAGCTTGATAGTGTAATAAAACTTGAATACAAATTTACTACCCTTCACCGGAAGTCCACGAGATGGTGCTAGAGAAGGACGGCTTCAAGTTGTACCTTATTAGCTGCTTTCGTCCTTGGTACTAGTTAGCCCATGTAATTTGTCAGAATCAATGAACAGAGAAGCTGGTAGAGAATCTGCTTCTTTACAGCTATTCAAATATACATGGAATATGAGAAGTCTTGTTTAAAACACACAAACATCGGAGGAATTTAGTGTGCCTAGTGTGCCTAGACAAATCATGGGCAAATAGAAACAAAACCAAAATGACATTTAAAAAATCTCTGTTTATACATATCTTTTACTTCAAAGCATGCCATGTGTTTCCAAAAGCAGCAACACTTAAGATAG